GTGATGTAGTGGCTGCACTGGACTGCGATCTGCATGGTCAAAACCACCAGCAGCATCAAAGGAGAAAGACTGCTTTCTACTCCCGTAAATGGTTACAGTCTCAGAAACCTCAGATGGGTCACTATATAGTCAGCATTGACTCAATGGCAGTGAGTTTTCATATATTATGCAAGATAGTAAATAAGCAGTTAGGTGCATTCAAAGAATATTGAGCACACTGTAAATTATATACCTTTAAAATATATGGAATTTCAATTTACTGTATATATTTTTTACTGAAATTTAAAGATGTCCTTAACTAGGTTTTTGTTTTGTTCTAGAAAATTATTTGTTTTTGTTCTAGAAAATTATTTGTAAAAGACTGTTAATATTGTTAAATGCTGTCAAATCAGTTCCCAATTCATAGTACCCTATGTACAACAGAATAAACTTATACCTTGTCCTGCTCTATTCTGAGAATCACTGCTATGTTTGAGCCCATTGTTGAAACGATTCTGTTAATCCATGTTGAGGGTCCTCTTCTTTTGCTAACACATTCTCTACCAAGCGTGATATCCTTCCTCAGGAACGGATCCCTCCTAATAACATGTCCAAATTACATGACACAAAGCCTTCCCATACTTGCTTCTAAGAAATATTCTGACTGTACTTGGAAGTCGTACATTCATACATATCTATCTGATATCACACTAATATCTCTATATAATATCTATCTAGATAAAGAGATATATCTAGATATAGATGTAAATATATCTATCTACATATCACACTGACGTTACAGTTTTCCTAGATTTATATAACATAGGAAGTATTACACTTAATTGCCTGATACATAGATATCAAAATACCTAACAAAATTTCCTTTGACAATTAAAACTTAAGGAACCCTGTTGGTACAGTAGTTACATATTGACCTGCTGACTGCCAGGTTGGTTGTACAAACCCAATAGGCTTAATCAACGTAACCCTCTGAACTATAGGATTGCGATGAGTTGAAATCAGTCTGACATCATCTCTTAAAAATTATATTAAGCTTGCTTTTGAATTTCATCTTTCCCATTCCATTTTAAGAGATTGCAATCGGACATACCTTATTTATAAATTTTATTGCCATGGTGAGGAAATCTAGAAGGGTCTTGCAGGATATGAAGGAAATTTTTTTATGGTATTAATGTCAAATTCCAATGTACAATTGGCCCTTTGTAATATGCCATACTAAATACACATATATTGCACACACAGAGATTCATGGATGCAGTGGAATACTGCTAGAATTTTAAAGCACACCTCAGTAAGATTTATGAGTAATCTTAAATCATGAGCTTCCAGTATACTTCATAGAAACATTGAAATTGTAACACATAGAAAATTCTGTCTCTCTGGAATTATTAACTCTATTTTGATATTCATTTCCAAAATAACTATCTCAATGTTTTAAAACATACGTCCGTTTACTAATGCAGTTAGGAAAACAAACTCACTGCCGTGGAGTTAATTCCAACCCATAGGACGGTATAGGACTGGCCCTGGGGATTTCTGAGACTGTAACTCTCTCTATTAGTAGAAACTCCACGCGTCTGGTAGGCGCAATTGTACAGCGATAATAAGTAAAGATTCTAGTAAAGTCATAGAGAATATGAGAGATAGCAAAGAGATTGAAATAATGGAGTCAGATACATTTCATGGTAGCATGCTCACCTCAGGGCAGGAGAGAGAAAGATTTATTGCTAACTAAGGCTTATATAGCTTTTGGGGATGTGCAAGCCCCCTAATTTCAGGTAAAGGCATACTTCACAGGAAAGGGTTGTACTATAGGTAATACAGTAATAGAGGAGGACAATCTAGGGGTATACACGCAATAGGAAGAGGAGGGATTACGGGTATACACGTGACAAGATGGGCGGATCCTTGATTCATGATGGAGGCCTAACTTTGATTGCCCTAGAGCTGGAGGTTTTATTTAGCCTGTGCTTTCAGGGAAAGCAATCCACTGTCCCTAACAGCAAGGTGTGAACCCTACCTATTGTGGAAGAAACAATGATGTCTGCTTGCTCTGGATGGCTGGAGTCTTCAGGGAGATAACGGGACAATCATTTACCATTAGTTGCAAGTAGTGTCCTAAGCCTAACAGATATTTTGGGGGAATCAAGCTGGGGAACAGCCTTTATGTATTACACATATATGGGAGTAGAAAGCCTAGTCCCGTCCGCCCCTCCCCCCCCATAAGTCAATTGCTCTGTTAAATGACCAAATCTACCACTTGTCATTTTGTCATACATATGGTAGCTTATGTTTCTGGAAGCTATGTCGCTGATACTTAAAATACCATCACAATCACCTTCTGTGAACAGGTCTCAGTGAAACTTTGAGATGAAGAACAGATTACAAAGAATAAATAGGCTGCACTTTTGAGGAATTAGAAATCGACAGCCTTATGGATTTCAGAATACTGTCTAATATAGTGCCAGAAGATGAAACTCACAGATTGAAAGGCACTCAAAATACAACATAGGAACCGCTGTTTCCTCAAAGTAGAGCCCAGTATGAGGATAGAGTAGAACTTCTGGAATATCCATCTGCTGCTATGGCACAGATCAAAATTAGAAGAAAAAGGTGCAACCATCCATTAATAGGACCATGATGTGTAAGTTATGAATGTAGTAAAATTGGAAGTTGTCAGAAACAAGATGGACTGCATAATGATCCGTGTTCTGAGCCTTAGTGTGCTGAAATGGAATAATATTGTTCGTTTTGAATAAGATAGTCATACGGTTTATTGTAGCAGGAATAGCAAATTTAAGAGGAATGAAATCTCATTCATTGTTAAAAAGAATATTTCAAGATGGGCGAAAATGAGAGGAAGACAAGGGTTTCTACCTGGTATTAGTTAACAGTCCTGGAAACACAGTGACAGCTCTACATTGTCCTATTATGGGTCAGAACTGACTCTCTGGCTAAGAGTTTAGAGTTTTCTTTTTATTTATTATTTTTATGTTGAGATACCATGCTACTTGTGATAGGGTAATATATTTAAATAAAATTATTATTTATTTTTGCACCAATCACTAAAGCTAGTAATGAAAAGGAAAGATTTCTAACAGTTTTTCAATCTAAAAATTATTCAAATGCAACTAAGATGAAGTGATAATTATTATCAATTGGAAGTTGGGAACAAAAAGGATTAGTAGCTGGAAAATATGGTAGAAACAAACCAAGAGATCAAATGTGAAAATTGATGGGGAAAAAACCCTCACTACTATCAGCTTGATGGATAATAAATTAGGGGGACCACAGAATTGATGCATATGAATTGCGATGTTGGCGAAGAATATTGGAAATATTTATTCTATAGTGCCAGAAGGACAAAACAAGTCCGTTCTGGAAGAAGTACAGCCAGAATGCCCTTTAAAAGCAAGGATAGAAAAACGTCATCCCATATACTATAGACATTGTTATCAGGAGATAACAGTCCCTGGAAAAGGGCCCCAAGCTTGATAAAGTAGACAGCAAAAATTAGGAAGACTCTAAAGGAGCTGAGTTGATACAATGTCTGCAACAGTTGACTCCAAGATAACAATTGTGAGGATGCTACCGGACCTGGGCAGTGTTTTGATCTATTGTTCATAATGGTCTCTTTGGATCAGAACTGGATTGACAGCATTCAACAATAATAACAGTACCAAAAGAACAACAACACAAATAGGTCCAAAACAAAAAGTAAATTGGAATTTTTTATATTAACTATATATTGAAGTGATGTTTGGGACATACTGGGTTATATAAAATATATTAAAATTAGTCACTATGAGTCAGAATCAACTCAATGGCAGTGAATATGAGCATATTAAGCTTTTTAATATGGGTAGCATTTGTGGTGTTCAGTGTATTTCTGATGGTTAGGGATGTTCTAAGTAATTCCGTTATCCTGTTTTTATATTATTTTATTCTATTTCAGTATAGTTAGGAACAACTACGTTGGCTACTAAGCAAAAGGGTGGCTGTTCAAACCCTTCCAATCGTTCCGTGGAAAAAACAATTAAAAACCAAGAAAACCCCATGCGGCAGCTCTGCTTTGTCCTGTGTGGTTACTATCAGATAATTTCAAATGATGGCACCCAACAACAATAAAATATTTATTATAATGATGAAATAGCCGAATGTTTGAAGACATAGTAAAAATAAGATCCCATAACAATAGTAGGCTATTTCAGAAAGTTTGTGGAAAATTGGAATTAATAAAGGTTAATAAAATATTTTCACAAACTTTCAGAAGCCTCTGAAACATATATAACTTATAAAACATATAAGTCTGTATGTTAGACTTATAAATGGGTCCAAAAGACCCATGTGGTAATTGTAAGATAAAACAAGTTTTATTTATTTTTTAAAGTTTTATTTTTATTTTAGAGAAAATATTCTCTAAAGCCAGAAGCCATACTTTTCATGTAGTATATCATATTTTGTGTGTAGTTAAAATTACCCCCCAAAAGCTAAAAATTGATGTAATGGATCCTGATTTTTATATCAACAATTGTTTTTCTCCATACAAATTGCCAATTCTTGATTAGGAGCCTTCTTTAGCATAATTTTCAGCAACTGTTTTACCCACCTAAATTTGTCTTGGCAGTTTGGTAGATGTAGAAGCACAAACGCCTAGTTCTTTATTTCACACCAGTAGCAGTGACAAAGCACTTAGTATAAATTCATTTATTAGCTTATACCATAAGCTAATGGGTAAAACAGTTGCTGAAAATTATGCTAAAGAAGGCTCCTAATCAAGAATTGGCAATTTGTATGGAGAAAAACAATTGTTGATATAAAAATCAGGATCCATTACATCAATTTTTAGCTTTTGGGGGGTAATTTTGTAGTATTCAAACTCTATTATACTCTAGATGACAGGTAAGTATGTATGTAAGTATCAGGTTTGAAATTGCAGTTGTCTGATAGATGGGAATATTTTGTATGTAATCTAACATCTTCCTTTTTTTTCTTAACAGACATTTGTGAATGATATAAGAATTCCAGAACAAACTTATATTACCTTGAAACTTGAAGATAAACTGCGATTTGGATATGATATCCTTATGGGATTTTGTACATTTATTAATATGTTGAGAAATCTCCACTCTTATATGTGTACCATTTCTTAAATTTACAGTATTACTATAAATTTACAGATGTGCTACAATTTTCATTATTGGTTGCCTTTCCATACTCACATTTTAATGTTTAAAAATTATACTTTCTCTTTAGGAAAATCAAGGGATTCAATTAAAAATTATTTTTAGATTATATATTATTTCTGCGGAGATCTTTACACAGTGCTGTTTTATATGTAATTTGGGTTTCAAAAGTGTAACTGGGTGAACAAGGGAATGTTTAATTTTAGCCTAACTGTTTTTCAGTGCATTATAGTGGCACACCTCAACATCTGGGAGGGGAAGAATGTAATAATTTAAGCCTACTTTTCTTTCCATCTCTGGAGCCCTCGTGGCATAGTGGGTAACTCATTTTAACTGCAGAGTTAGCAGTTAGCAGCCACCAGCTGCTCTGTAGAATAAAGATGAGGCTTTCTGCTCCTATAAAGATTTACAGCCTCAGAGACCCCTGGGAGCAATTCTACTGTGACCTAAAGGGTTGCTATCATACATCAGAATGTATACGACAGCACCCGATTGGCTCTTTCTATCTCTAGCTTTACTCCAGTTTATGTTGGAAGGTAAGTCATAGAGTACTGCTACTATGGTTCTTGTTCATATGTGCACAGGTTTATTTCCGACAAAACCTATTTAAACATTTCTCTATGAACACTGAATGGCTGCAGAAAAGTTATCTCACTAATAATCCTTCAAGATTTATAGTCTCAGACAAACAACAACAAAACCATTGTTGAGAACGATGAGTGTTGAAGCACAGACCCAATACCCATCTGTAGACAGTGGAACACCTCCCCACAGAGGGGGTCACAGGGAAGGGATGAGTCACCAGGGTGCAGTAAAGCACTGAAGAAACACACATTATTCCTTTGGTTCCTTGAGGCTTCCTCACCCTCCTCTATCATGACCCCTTTGCTGCCTCTCACTTCGGACTAGACTGGAGCATGTACACAGGTACAGATAAGAGCTAAGAGTACACAGCACACAGAATCCAGGAACAGGAATAGTGATACCAGGAGGAGGGTAGGAGGTAGATGAGCAGAGGCGATGAAGGGGGGAACCGATTGCAGTGATGGACACACAACCACATACACACCCTTCAGGGGAATAAAGACATCAGAAACCATGGGAGAAGGGAGACAGCAGTTGGTGTAAGATGAAATTATTAATTTATCAAGGAGACATGGGGGGGGCGCTGATACCAAGGGCTTAATAGAAAGTAAATGTCTAGAAAAGAATGATGGTAACATATGTACAGATATGCTTGATATAATTGATGTATGGATTTTTGTAAGAGTTATAAGAGCTCCAATAAAATGATCTTTTAATAAAAATTTTTAAAAAGATTTATAGCCTCAGAAAGCCTACAGGCAGTTTTCTTCTCACCCCCTATTAATAGATTTTAGCCCATTGTTGAAGATCAGCTGTCTGTAAGTAGATGGATTTACTTCTCGTTTCTCAGTTCTGTTGCATTGGTCTAGGGGCCTGTTGTTGTACCAGTACCAAGCTGTTTTGATAATTGTGGCTGTGTAGTAGGTTTAGAAATGGTTCAGAGAAAGTCCTCCAACTTGATGCTTTCATGGGATCTCTTTCCTTTACTCAAGGAACCCTGGGAGTAGGTTACATGTTGGGCTACTAAGAAAAAGGTCAGGAGTTTGAACCCACCTGTTGCTTCATAGGTAAAGGTTGAGTCTGTCTGCTCCAATAAAGATTTTTAGCTTCAGAAATTCAAAGGGGCAGTTCTGCTCTGCTCTAGAGGGTCACTGTGAGTCAGAGTAGACTTGCTGGCAGTTGAATTTGTTTTGATTTTGTAGTCATCAATTGCTGGTTGTTTTTCCTCTCATTAAAGAATGTTGGAGCTCACAGCAGGTTTGCATTATGTATGTGGGTTCTTTTAGGTGGTACGGCGGTTTTCTCAGTGTGAAGTCTGCACAGCAGTGTGCACAGTCGGGTTTTCCCTTTATGTAAATCTCTCCGTTTCTTGCAACAGTATTTTATAGTTGGGTTTTTGTTTTATTTTTTCAGCAAGTTTTTTCTCTCCATCTATAGTTAAGTTTATAACTGGTTTTCATATTTTGGAGGGCTCTTGTTAACTGGATATATTTTTCTTGTTAACTATTCAGAATTCTCTTTATTAGTGTAGAGGAATTCAACTTGCTTTTGTATGTTGGTATTGTATCCTTCCACTTTACTGAAACCATCTATTTGTCGTAGTAACTTTGTTGAGGAGACTTTGGAAGTTTCTATATATATGATCATGTCATCTGCAAATAGGAATAGTGTTACTTCTTACCAATTTTTTATAGCCACTATTTCCATTTCTTGCTTTATTGCCCTAACTAGGACTTCTAACACAATATTGACGAAGAGAAAAATAGACATCTTTGACTTGTTCCTAATCTTTGGGGTAATGCTTTCATTACTTTCTGTTAAGTATAACGTTGGCCGTTTCTTTTGTATGTGTGCCCTTAATTATGTTGAGGAATTTCAGTTTCATTCCTATTTTCCTGAGCGTTTTAATCAGGAGTGATTGTTGGACTTACTTCATCAAATGCTTTTTCTATATCAATTGAGATGCATGGAATTCTTGTTTTTTGCTTTAGATATGGAAATAGAGGGAACAGACTTCCACTTGCTGGTCTGTGACATGCTGTCATACTCATTTCACGAGCCAGTGTGAAGTAGTGTGGTCCCTGCCAGAATCCGTTGTCTTCTGCCATTGCTCTGTGCATTCTTCCTCTAAGTATTCTGTCCAAAGACCAAGGACCACTGTTAGTAGTTTTGTCCTTCTTTCTGGCTTTCTCCGGGCAGTATGATCACCAGGCACCTAAGAGCACTTCTTTTTCTTTCTTATACTCCTTAAAGCTGGTGCATATTCTCCTCACCTTGCTTTACTCCAGATTTATCACCACTGTCTTTTCCTCTTGGGAATTATGTAAAGTTGCCTTTTATGCTCATTACCTAGAAAAGCTGCTTACTTTCTTTCATGATGGCTACACTGTGCCAAGGAAGGCTGGTACTTTTAGTCCATATCACCTCTTTTATATAGGCTTGTTCACTTTCTACTTCAAATTGGTGTTTGATTGATTTATTTTATTTATAGCTTAGGGTTTCCAGTTTATCATCCATATCTGTATAATTTATTTTCTCAGATCTTTGGTTTTTTTTAAACATTTTATTAGGGGCTCATACAACTCTTATCACAATCCGTACACACATCAATTGTGTAAAGCGCATTTGTACTTCATTCTCAAAACATTTTCTCTCCACTTAAACCCCCGACATTAGGTCCTCATTTTTCCCCTCCCTCCCCGCTTCCCCCTCCCTCATGAGCCCTTGATAGTTTATAAATTGTTATTTTGTCATGTTTTAAAGTTACAGTTTGCTGTGTTACCATCTTAGGACCTGGAAATTATTTAATTAAAATGCCACAATAGAACCTCTATGGATTGAGGATAGAACTGGGAAGCAAAATGTATATGCCAAAGCAACCTTTCTTTTCCCCCAACTAAATAAATTAATGAGGATTTCCAAAAGCAAGTGCTTTATAAGATGTTCAGATTTTTTAAAGGACATTAAACAAGAAGAGTAATAAAAAATACAGCCATTAATTTAATAAGAAGTAATGAATAAATTTCCAAGTGGATCAGATACACAAGCCTCAGTGACTTTTTAAATGTGTTCTTTATGCCAAACATAGCCCCAGTGCCCTATGAATATAGTAATGAATGAAACAGACTACCTCTCCACCCCCTCAAAATCTTTGTTTTCTTAGAGATTGGATTAATAGGTTACACAGAGTATACAGCAAACTAGAAGAGTAGGGATTGGGGGATGTTAGCAGTGATGGAAAAAGGCAGTGCTGGTGAGTAAACTAGAGGGTCAGAGAAAAAGAGGACAACTTCAACAAGTTGGACTGAGTGGCTGGCTGCAACAATGTATTCAAACAGCAATGATTATGAGGATGAATTGGAATCAACTTGGTGGTACGTAACAGCTATCCTTATAGTCAAGGGTGCTTGGGAAGAACCATAGAATTTAGTGCCTGGTTATAAAAATCCTCTCATTATTGGGTAAAGTATAATAAGAAATGTGAATTCTACTGTGTCCTGAACAGATCTTTAATAAACAAAAGCATTGTTCATTTTTATTTAACAAAAGCATTCATTATTGTGTCTAGCAGTTGGCACCAATCTGTGTGGAATTAGTTGTTAGATAATGTCATAGGACCCTCCTTGTAATTCCTAGTGTAAACAGCTGGTTGTGGTTTATGGAAGCATCCTAATATTGCATTTCTTTTGCACTTACAAAATAAACGTCATTTTTATCAATGTTGTAATCAAATTCTTTTAAGTTTTGTTTCTGAGTAATCACTGACTATATACTTCCTTTCATATACCATATATACTCATGTATAAGCTGAGTTTTTCAGCACATTTTTAATGCAGTTTTTGTGGTAAAAGTAGGTGCCTCAGCCGATATTCGGGTTGGCTTATAATGGAATTTTTTTTTCCCAGCATAATTCGATCCAGTTGCTTTTTCATTATTACAGTTAGTAAAAACTGAATATATCTTTTGAGTTATTTCTCATCCAGTTGTTTACTTAAAAGCAAAATTGCCACATATGAGGGAGTAACCCCCCAAACTGGAAAATTCTTTTTTCCCACTAGGCAAGCATTGAGCAACTCGCTCTGAGTTAGTGCACCTAGTGGCGTCGCCTGGGAAAGTTTTCTCTGGTCATAGTGAATTTTTTCATTAAAGCAGTTTTGTTCAAACCTCATTTTTTTGTGATGGCTGATGTAAAAGAACAGTGTGTGGCTGTGAAATGTTGTTTCCTGCTCTAGAAAAGTGCTGCAAAAATTGTTGTGATGTTGAATGTAGCTTACAAGGACAGTAATATGGGGAAAACTCAAGTGTCTGAGTGAAGAAAAAAAATGAGGGAGGTGCTGTCAGCCATCCAAACTAATACGTTTGAAAAATGTTTCCAAAAATGAAATCGCAGATTTGACAAATGTATTAAGTATAATGGAGAGTACTGTGTGATACGGTTTTTTCTGTAAAAAAAAAAAAATTTAAATAGCTATGAAAAAAATTTTGGTTTTAGGGGGTTCCCACTCGTAAATTTAGTAATACTTGCTGGATGTTAAGAATATTTTTCTTTAGCATTCCAACGTGAAAAACTTTATGCTTTTATTCATTTTTAAACATTCTGATATAAAGAATGTAGTACTTATGTTGTGTTTATCTATTAAAAGTAGGCTAAAAGTTTTTAAGTTATTTTCTGTTACTTTAAGCTTCATGACTAGAATTTGGAAATCATGTTCTTCCTTAGCCCTATTTACATACAAATCTTTTCACTGTGGTTCGCGGAGAGATGAGGGTCCCTGAAGAAGCACTTAAGGTGAGACAAAACTACTACTTCTCCCCCACCACTTACTGAGTGTGATTGCATTCATGGGTATTCACTTTTGTTTATGAATGTCTTATAGCATGAGAAGTTTACCATTCAGCTTCAATTGTCCCAAAAATCTTCAGAGTCCGAATTATCAAAATCTGCATGTGCCAAAAACGTAGACTCAAAAGTAGCTGATCCTGCAGCAGAAGTACAGCATAAATCTACAGAAGCTCTAAAGTCTGAGGAAAAAGCCATGGGTAGGTTAACCTCTTTGAAGACACTGTTATTTATATATGATGGCGAAGAAATTACATGTTCTGCTCATGAAAATTTATCCAAGTCATGTTGGCTAAGTCATTTAAAGTAATGATGGGTTAAAAATTATACATATTTTACCTCTTTTGAGTTTGAATGCAGCCAATATCATCATCATAGAAGATTAATAAAATGCGTATTGATGGCATGTGTATACAGGTGTGTTTACTACATAGAGGTACGTGAGGAAAATATGCTCAGCTCGTTGCCGTTGAGTCCATTCTGAATCAGTGACATGGAGCTCTGGGTTTCCAAAGCTGTGTGTCTTTATGGGAGCAGAAAGCCTCATCCTTCTCTTGTGGAACATCTCTGGGTTTGAACTGCTGGCCTGTGGTTAGCAGCCTAATATGTAACCCTCTATGCCACTAGGGCTGTGAAGAAAAGAAAGTTTACTACATAATATTTTTATTGTTTCATGTTTGCTTTTCTGAGTTATAGCTTAAATACAACTTAAAAGTGGAAAACTTAAGATAACCAAATAATGCTACATGAAATTATCATATTTAACAAGTTGTTCACACCGTGGAAAATGTTTTACATAAATAATTTCATTTAAACAAAATCATTTGTTATTAATAAATGTTACTAGATTGACTGAAGTAAAAATACATTTGTCCTGCTAAAAGTTTAAATATGGTTACCATGTAATACCGTTAGAGTTTTTAAAAATTGAAAAGTGGATGCTCATGTAAAGATTTAATTTTCCTTTTTATATTGTTACCTAGCTGATTAATGCCTAGATTTTCTAAATTTGCTCTAGTGAGGCCACTTTCTGCTGAAAATCTCAAGGTTTTTATCATCTCTTTCCAGATATTTCTGCTATGCCCCGTGGTACTCCATTGTATGGACAGCCATCGTGGTGGGGGGAAGATGAGGTGGAACAAAGTGCTGTCAAGTCAAATAGCAAATCTGAAGAAAAAGCCCATGAAGCTGGAATGTCAGGTAAAAGATGTTTCTATGCGCTGGGAAGAATTTATAATCTAAGCAAAAATCTTTCTACTTTGATCAAGTGAAAAAAGATAGGTACTTGATAAAGATAGTTGCTATATATTTTAATGGCATTGTTATTCTAATGTTACATTCTTGAGTGGTTCTCACTTTATACAGTATTAATATCTTTATGATATACTTTTATTTAAAATACTTTTTCTAGTTTGAGATTATTAAAGCTTGACAAATTACTAACACCTTTGTCATTTTAGCACTTTAAAATGATTATTAAGATGTATCAAAGACACAAAAATAATAGGTTTAAACTATTTTTTAAATTATCCTTCATCACACATATCATATAGTAAAATAATATTTATATTCAGAAATATGAAATCAATATTTCTATAAACCTCTGTTTACTCACTGTTGGTATGTAATAGCAACAAGATTCATTGAGTTTGGTAGCCAGCAAAAATAAATAATTCTTTGGCTAGATTCTCAGATTAATAAAATGAGAACATACTTTTTTTTTTGCTGACAGTGTTTAGTAGTGACTTAAGTATCCGTATGTCAGAAAATAGTTCTAGGAAATAAGTGAACTATCAATTGTCTGTCACATATGGAAAGGATCCATTAGAGACAATACGACCAAAGGATGGAGCACCATTTTTGTAATAATAACAGATGAGGACTCAAATTTGAGAAATTAAGCTTGAGCACTAGGTATCAATATGGAAAACAGTCTGAGCGTTCCTCAGTTTTCTAGTCATGTCACCAATCCTACAAGCTCATTAAGAAATTATCCAGAGCTGGAAAATAACAATGTTTCTTTAAATATATTCTATATTAACAAGTTTAGTAAAGCTTGCTTTATCAATCTGATCATATTGTGTCCCAAACACAAGTCAACTTTGCCATCAACTGCTTTCTTCATGCCTACTCTCAGGACCTTAGTATTATTTAGCTTGCCTTCATATACAAATTACAGAAATGCTACCCAAGACTGAACAGGAAGGGAATTTACTGGCTCACATATGAACCATTTCAAGGTTGGTGAATTCAGCATCTCAACAGCATCATCAAGTGCATAATTTCTTTGCATCTCTCAGCCCTGCTGTGCTGTCTACTGTGGCTGGTTCCTGAGATGGCTTCCTCTCAGTCAAAGATACTTGTATGCAGCAATCAGGACCACATCTAGCAGAAAAGAGCGAAGCTTCCAGTTGACCTCCCAGAAGATGAAAGAAGAGCTTCCCTAAAGATCTTAGCACTTTCTACATTGGCTTCTCATAGCTTTGGGTGTAGATCACCTATTTATTTCTGATCCAAACTCTGGCAATGTTAATATCCTTAACACTAATCTGGTTCACCCTGAAGCCAAATAATGAGATTAGTTATGCATTCAGGAATGTGAGCCTGTCTCAAGGAAGAGTGGATACTTTTAGCAGGGAAGAAAAGCAAACGGATATTGGAAAGCAATCAGATATGCTGCTTTATTTGAAATCTTTATCTTTCCATTCCCTTCTCTTAATCTGCCAAACTGTATTATCTAAGTCTCTTGACTTTTTTCCTCACTGAGTCATAATTGTACTTCCTACTTCCAGCTTCAACCCTGCTTGTGCTTTATTTTCCGTAACAAATCTAACCCTCCTTTAGTTCCTTTTTTTTTTTTTAAGAAGCTGCGGTGGCTGCTTATTGCTTGCCAAATAAAATTAAGCTTTTAAAGTCTTGTTTGTCAATGTTCTAATTTTGCACCGCTTCCTTTAATGAGCCTTATATCCTGCTACTGTATTTTTTTGTTTTATACCCAGTGCCTCCCCACATATGTTGTGCTAGTTCCTGCTTGCTTATCTCACAAAGATACTCAGTACATCAGTGATATACAGTGCATCAAGTGGTATAAAATGTTAAACAATGTGTCTATGTACAAGTATTGCTGTAAGATGTAACATCATTTAATTCTATTAGGGGCCCTCCGATGAATTGCTCTGGTTAATTGGTAGGCTGCGAACTAAAAGGTTAAATGTTTCACATCCTGTCAGCTGCTTCAGGGGAAAGAGCTGGCAATCAGCTTCTGTAGAAACGACTCCGCGGCCGTCGACTGACAGTGACAGAGGCGAACTGCTCCTGAACTCTGGAGTACATAATTTTGACAACACAATAAAATAGTTCTACTTTTTGGACTGGAGCCAGAGCTTGATTTATAATTATACCTGATGCTTACTTCAGCCACATACTTTTCTAGTCCTTGTCTTACATTTAAGCCTCAGCGCAATACTTGAAGATCGGTACTGCTGGGCTTTGCTCTGTTTTGTTCTTTTCCATTTTATAGATTAAAAAACAGATTTGGCAATCGTAGCTTAATTCCATCTAGACACAAACACATACAATCACTATCACTTCAAAATGACATACTTCATAGAATACAAAGATTTAAACAAATTGTAAAAGCTAGGCACAAAAAATTGATCCTTTATATCTAATAAAATAAGTTTCAAACTGTAAAACATCCATCAGCAATTTTAGCTATGTGCATAAAACTGAATTTTAAACAGTTATGTGGTCTGTCTCAGTATAATTTTTTCAGATGACCCAAAGCTATCTCATAACCTTTACTTATTTCGAGTAATAAAGAATTGAATTATGTCTTATGCTAACAGATTAAAGAGCTATTCAGATAGAGGGGATTTAGATATGTCAGATATAAGTGAAATAATAACCTTACGAGAGTCTCTCGTTAGATTAGTATTAGGATGTTATTTTTTCAGATTTATAATTTAGAAGTTTCTTAAAATGTAGTATGAGGGAAGCCATTAACTGACCTAGAATCATTTCTTAAGTGAGAAGAAATGAGTGCCTGCTGTATAGGAATTTTTTTTTGTTTCTCTCTGAGTTCATTTGTATCCAGAATATTCTAAAGGCACACCTAAATATTCTAAAGGAATACCCTAAACAGCATACTAGAAGCACATATGTACATTAGAGCAATCCAGTGTCCCAGAAAGTACGTGAATATCTGGAATTATAATAAGTAAGAAAGGTGCCTAGATTGCAAATGGGTTGCTTTTGTTTATCTTTTTTAACTCAATTAATAAAAGTTGGTAGTTCTAACCCACTGAGCAGTACTTCAGAAGAAAGGCCTTGTATTCTATTTCTATAAAGAATACTGACCAAAGAACCCGATGATACACAGGGTTTTCTATTAGTCTGAATTGACTTGAAATCTGCCCTCATTTTCAGTGCAACTGTGCTCAGGTGGTTGATGAATCGGGCTGCTACCATAAGGTCAGCAGTTCAAAACCACTAACTAACTGCCCCTCAGGAGAAAGATGATGCTGTCTGTTCCTGCAAAGATGTACAGCTTCAGGAACCCACAGAAACAGTTCTGTTCTGTCTTTGAGGGTCCCTAAGAATCAAAATTGACTTGTGAATATGGTTTTTAGAGTGCTTGGGTTCTCAACCTTCCTAATGCTGCGACCCTTTAATATAGTTCCTCATGTTGTGGTGACCACCCCAACCATAAAATTATTTCGTTGCTACTTCATAATTGTAATTTTGCTAGTGTTAAGAATCGAGCGACCCCTGTGAAAGGGTTGTTCGACCCCCCTAAGGGGTTGCAATCCATATGTTGAGAACTGCTGATTTAAACATTTAATTTCTGTATACACTCATGTATAAGCCGAGTTTTTCAGCACATTTTTATGCAGATTTTTGTGGTAAAATTAGGTGCTTCGGCTGTTATTTGGGTCAGCTTATACTTGAGTATATACAGTAGGTTACATTATTAGACTGTTGCATATATTTTAAATAGGTGTTTATGTGAGTACAACTGTGAGGAATGTATTTTAATATAAGCGAACTAAATTTTTTCAATTATTAGTTTTCTTTTTAGCAAATAGAATTTCCCAGGTCTTTGTAACTTCAAGTATTTGGAATAGACTAGGTTGGATGAATTTTATATGTGAAACTCACCTCTGACTCATTTAATATTTTACAATGTAAAAAATAAAATGAAAGGAGCATATTGTGGATGCATTTATTGTTTACCTCTTAGAGGCTACCCGTTATTAAATATAGTTATACTTTTTTATGCCTCAGAATCATTATGAGCCTCAGTTTCTGCAGGTTAGCGGTTTCAACATCCCCGCAGGTTCCTAAGAGTAAGATGTGGCTATTTGTTTTTGCAAAGATTGCCAAACCAGACTCCCTGCCTTCAGTGCTGCTTCAATAAGACAGGTCAGAACTGCCCCTGTGAGTTTCCAAGACTAACTGTTGACAAGAGTAGAAAGCTTCGTTTGTTTATTGAGGAGCGGCTGGTGGTTTTTAGGGGCAGTTCCACTCTGTCCTCTTGCTATGATTCAGAATCAGCTTAATCGCCATAGATTATAGGCTTACATAGGCTATGTGTCTGCTCTTTGTTTTTGTTTATCGCTACCACTGAACTGTCACTTAGTGCAGTTCTGATTTTACTCTTCATTTGTCTACACTTCCAGATTTTTACTTGTTCTGAGTAATTAGTATAAAGGCACTCCATGGGAGACGTCCACATTAGGAAAGTTTACATTTCAAGAGTATAGATGTTGTCATAACTGTCTCAAGTTTCTTAAACTTGGGATTTTCGGTTAGATATTTAGTTCCCTGATTCTTCCTCCATTGGAGAGTAAAGAGAGGACAAGAAAAATGAAAGTTTGTGTGCCGCTTTGTACTAGACTTTGTTCTAAACTTTGTAATTTAAATCTCAATAGTTATGTACACCACAATATTGGGGTAAATATTATTTCCTATTTTATTGATTAGGAAAACGCAGATAAAGAACTGAGACAAACAGGAGTTGTCTGATTTCAAATGTCACAGCTTTTCACTAAGCCAGGCTACCTGTTGGTGATTACTGAACCATAACATGTTGCTTTTCCATTCCTTTGTGCTTCTTGACTTTGTTAGATAACTGAGTTCAAATACATTTTTTAGGTATTAACTTGTTTCAAGGTTACTTTAAAGTAAGACTATCTTAG